AGGCTCTGGGCACAGGGAAAAAGAGTAAAAGACACCACTGGGTTCTGAGATCCACTGTTCTCTGGGGTCAGATGGTCTACAAGATGCTGTCCCTTCCATGAAATGAGAGGTGCCCACCACTCTGACACTTGGTGCTCGACCCCTGGCCTCTGGGGTCCCCTCACTGCTGAGAGACACTCCTCCTCTCCTCACCAAGTTCTCTGGAAGCCAGTTTTTCAGAGATTTGGTTTTTTAATTGACAACAGTTTGGAGGGGTGGGAGTCAGGACCACACTTTTCTGAGCAGGCAGGTTCCTTTTCCCCACCTGTCGTGGGAATCTTCATAGCTCCAAGCTTTCTCCTGCAGCAGGGTGTTGGCTCCATCCCCAGTGGTCCTTAAGCCTCCGCCAAGGGTTTGAACAACCTCTGGAACATTCAGACCCATAGGCTAACTAGCTACAGCTGGGAGGATTTCCTTCTAGGCTGAGTTCCAGAAACCCCAGCCCAAATTCTCAACCCCCAGATCACCAAGAGACCCGATCCGATGCAAGAGCAAAGAGTCTTTATTTAATTAACGAGTTAACTGTATTAACTAGGGTCCTCCATCCATCTCACACAGTGGGTGGAGTGAGAAGGACCCGGAGGGCCATGGGACAGGGAATTTATTGGGGAAGAGCAAGTGTCTTGGGTCTGCAACAGTTTCAGGATTGGTGCACTTTGGAGTTTGGGTAACCTGTCCTGTGTTGATTGGCCAGCTGCAGCTTCAGGTAGGCTGCTTATCCTGTGTTGATTGATCAACTGGTTGCTATGGCCTATAGGCCCTCCCAGGATGGTTGCTATGCTCTGCACTCCACTGTTACCATAAAGCACATCCAGAGCCAGCCAGCTAACTTCTGATTGGTTCCTTGCCACATGGAGGGCATCTGGCTTCCCAGTGACTGGAAGGTCGGGAACTCAGCACACGTTCCTGAGTCAGGGGGCCTTTGTCTTGCTGGGTCTTTTCTGCTGCCTGTCATGGCTGCCAAAGCAGGGGGGCTGGGTGAGGGTCTGGTCCCTTCGGTCCTATGCTACCAGAGCCAAGCCGTGTTGGCATTGCAATTTTGTAGGAGACACGGAATAAATTTTTCCAGAATCCTGGAGTCAGTGATCCAGCGACAGAGAGACGCAATGACATACACAGAAATGACGGTTTTGGGGCTCTCATTTCTAGGGTTTTGTAGGGCCTAGCCACTGGTCAACCTTCAGCCAGGACACCCTGTGTCTGTGCACAGCTGGCGGCGGCTCTGGGTCTAGGTCCCTCCCGAGTAGTTTGGGCTGCCTCTCTTCTTTGTCATGAGGAGTACTGGGCACCGGATGTGCTCTCTGTCGGGTACTGAACATGAATGTGTCTGTGCCATGCCCCCAGGTTAGTATACAGGCTAAGTCTTCAGGTATGAAGCCGGGTCTCCTGCTTGGACTTTTCTGTGTACTTTGCAGTGGGAGAGACTTGTGTGTGTGTGTGTGTGTGTGTGTGTGTGTGAAACATTGTACTTCCTCTTGCCTAGGTCCCAGGGACTGCTGCTGCGATAATCTTTCTTCCAAGACTGTGATGGATGGAGCCCCAGCAAAGCCATCTAGCCAGCACTGAGAAAGGCGGACCCTGCGGAGGCTTTCCCGGGTCATGGAGCACTGGCGGAACTCACCACAACAAAACCCATTTTTTCCCTGCAGGCTCCACCCTGTGACCCGTGAGCTCCTCTGGGGGCGCTGGCGTGTTTTGTTTTGCTCTTCAGCTCAGAGACAGATGGATGAGCAGGCAAAGAACCGTAGCAGAAGCTCCGGGGGACTCTGACTGGGGCCTAGCGGAACACAGATTCAACTGCTGTAAGAGCCAGGCGAGGGAAAGCGGAACTCGATGAGCGTGTGGCGAAGACATTGACGGAGCCATGTCACCCAGGGTGGCCCTTATGCTCACTGGAGCTCAGATGAGGGGAGCTTGAGGGACAAGTCCCTCACAGCAGAAGGAGCTGTAGAATGTCATTCTGGCCTGGGAAGAGGAGGCGTGTGGCAGGTGGAGGGACAGGGCTGGGGTGGTGTGAAGGAGGATGACTGTCTGGCAGGTTGACAATGACCTCGGCTAGACCATGGCTAGGCAGCTGTAGGAGCTGGCCTCCCTGCTGAGCTGGACCAGAGGGCACCAACAGTGCTTCGTCTGCATGGGCAGGGCCTTGAAGACGGAGTTTGTGTTCCAAATGGTCCCACAGCCGTTTGGACCCAAAGAAACACACAGAGGCTTATCTTAATTTTAAGCTGTTTGGTTTGGCCGGTGGCTTAGGCTTCTTACTGTCTAGCTCTCTCTTAACTATTAACCGTAACTATTAATCTATGTATTTCTACATGGTCTTATCTTACCAGAAAATGTCTGACATCTCTCTCCCTCCTCCTCTTCCTCTACCATTCTCCTAGTCTGGTAGAGCCCCACCCATACTTCCTGCCTGGCTACTTGCCAATCAGCATTTTATTAAACCAATAAGAGAAACATATATTCACACCATACAGAAGGACCTCCCCCATCATCTCCGTCTACAAACGGTGCCCCCATCGGGACCCACCTGTTCAGGGGGTGCCATTCTGGGTGTGTGAAAGAGTGAGGATACTGCCAAGGACTGAGCAGAGCTCCGGATGGCAAGGAGAGTGACAGGGCTGAGGACCTGCAGGCAGACAGCCGGCCTCTGCTTTTGCTTCTCTCACTGGCTAAATGAACTAAAAGGCATCTCCGACTCCGGAGTTCAGAGCTGTGAGGTCAGCAGCCAGGGCACAAAGCCGTACAGGCTCCAATTCCCAGGGTTCGAAGCCGCACAGACAACTCCAGCTCCCAGCAGGCAAAAGTAAGGGTGGGCCACACCCGGTCCCAGCAGCTGGCCAACCTTGCTTGCCTTAGGTTTTAACCAGTCCGCAGAGGCCCATTCCTTTCCTCTCTCCCACTTACATCTTCCCTGCTAGCCTTGTCTTCTCAGACTCCATAGCCAAATGCCCACAGCCTGGACAGCTTGGACAACAGGAGTTTGTTCTCTCGCGGTTCTGTCTGTAGAAGCCCAGAGACAAGGAGAGGGGGTGTTGCTTCCTTCCGAGGCTGTGAGGATGAACCCCGTTTCTATCTTGGCTGCCGGAGGCTGCAAACATTCTTTCTGGACTCATTGCCCTGACTTCTGTCTTAGTCTCCATCTGGTGTCTCCCTGTGTGTCTCTGGCTGTCGATCTTCCCGTCTCGCAAGGACTCAATCTCTCGGCTCTGCCTCAGCCTTATCGGTCACCCCTGCCAGACCCTTCTTCAAGGAAGCTCGCACTCCTAGGTGGTGGGAGCTCACGCCCAGGATGTGTCTTTCATAGTTCACCCTGTAGCGCTGATATTTTCTCGCAGGGTGGCTTTCCTTACTGCGTTTGACTCCAGTCTTGTCCATTTTGGCTAGGAAATGTGAACAGCCATGGCAGTCTACCTCCAAAAGAATTCTTAAGTGTGTGTAAGTGGTTTAGCCCTGCTTCTTCTGCTCCCAGTCTCCAGCAGAAGAAGAAAAAAACGGGTCCCGTGTTTTGAGAACCCCCTCCAACCAGGGTTCTAGGAAAAACAAACAAAACAAAAACAGCCCTCCTAGGGCCCTTCAGAGCCCCAGCCCTGTGTCAGCAGCTCTGTTCGTGAAGAGGAAGTTCCCATTTGGAACAAACTCCCGAGGTATCAGGGCTGTTTGTCCCTACAGTTCCAGCTGACTGTTACATTAATTGCCAGCATAAGTAATGGCCACGGGGAACGACAGATGCTCCCGGAAGCCGGCATGACAGAAGTACTTAAAAACTCCATCACACATCACGAGCATACTCTATTATTTTAAATACCATCACTGCTAATAAGAGGCACGTGAGACTAGACTTACTGATGCCCGGGGATCAGGCAGAGTGGTTTCTACTGGAGACAGCAAAGAGGCGTGTTTCATGGGCTCAACAGGGAGCCTGGCAAAGCCTAGTTCGACTGCTAAGGAACCAGCCAAGATGCCAGTTTGGAGCTCGGTAGGTATTGGGAGCACTGGGAAGACCCCATGTTCACCGGGGCCCCATGAGGCCTCTTGCACGGGTGCCTCCCCAGAGCGTGGTTCAGTCTCTAGCTCCCAGGGCGTGTCCAGCTCTGGGTGGTTTGAGACTGAGCAGGTCTCATCCTCTTGCCCTGTGTCCTTTGCCCTGGAGGCCAGGTCTTTGGCTCCAGTGTGGCCAACTATTTAGAGTAGCTCGCATGGATGGTGTGGAGAGACAGGAAGGGGCTGTCACCTCTGGGGCTAAATGTCCCTCCCAAGAAGGGATCAGAGAGGAACAGTTATCATTTTTCACTCTGAGCTGTGGCTCCCATTTGCAAAGCCAGGAGGGAGGCTCAGCCTTGCTAGCAAGACTCTGGCACCCGCTTCCTAGCAGGGCAGCCAAGAGAGCACACTAGGCCCACGGAGACACCAGGACTTGATCTTGGTTCTCCCTGGCTCCGAATCCTCACACTGCGGGCTATGGATGAGTGGACGGCGAGATTTCTAGGGACCCAAGGGTATCTCCTGCTGTGGATTGTGTCTCAGATTTATGGAGAGCTCACGTCTTGGAATAAGTTGGGTCCACCACTGCACCCCAACCTGATGTGCATGTAGGCTGATCTGATTAGAGGTGTCCCATGCTGAGAGGGTTGGGCGGGATGGGTCTGGGAGGATTTTCTGAAGGATTCCTAGGGGATTCCTCCCTAGAGCAGCATGGCTCTTGCTCTGGGATGTTTGACAAACAGATTGCAGAGAAGAGCATGAAGTGTCTTTGGTTTGGGAAAAGGAGAGGCCGTCGGCCTCAGACTCAAGGAGTTTTAGGGGGTGGAGGGGCTGAAGGGGTGGGGAACCTATAGACCCCACCTTCACTGCGGGTGAAGCCTCAGAGCCCAGAAGATGGAGAGGTGGACGGGGGAAACCGGTGGCCACCGCGTGCTTGGGGGAAGTGGCCGCTGCCTCCTTCCTCTAGATGCCTTTGGCCCCAGGTACTCACGATCAGGGCAAGCCGACTCAGGTCAAGAGCCGATGGGAATGCCGCCTGCCTCAGTGCTGAGGTTGCCGACCAGAACCAGCACATCAGGCAATGCCACGGGGCTGAATGGAGGTAAGGGGAAGGAGAGGCTTTCAGGGTCTGGGGATCATGACAGGGGAGGGGGTGTGAAGAGAAATGGTTCCCACTGTGAAAACATGAGTGGTTTCAGCCTTTGTAAAGGCGGCTCCTCCCTCTGCCATACTCTTTGCTGCTCCGAGGACGAACAGGGAGTGAGCTTTCTTCTTGTTGGTCTGTCAGAGTTGTGTGTTCGTGTTCATGTGTGTGCAGCGTGCCTGCACGTGTATACTCAGGCACGGAATCAGGAGGTGACTATCAGGCGTCTCCCTCAGTCACCCCTCTGCCTTACTTTTTGAGGCAGGGAATTCATGCATGTTCACCTGCACTGGCAGTGTGGGGCCGGGTTTCATTCCCGCAGTAGCTACGATGAAGACTCACTCCTGGGGAGCCGGGACCCGTAGACACCCAAGGTGTCTGTGGGGCTGGGTCCTTCTGGGGGTTTTGGTGAACTCTGACCTTGCTACACTTCATTCAGCTCACAATGGATGACATCCTTGTAGCTTCTTGGATTACAGAGTCAGTCTGGTTTCTGGCTGCTTTGTCGTGTGACCTTGGCCCTGTGGACACCCCTCCAAGTCTCTGGTCTGCCCTATAAAGACACCATCATCAGGGTCCCTCATCTGTGCAGTCTCATCTTGCTTAACTGAGTCCCTTCCAAAGACCCTATGCCCAATGAAGGCCGTGGTCCACGGTCTCAGATACAGAAAAGCTCATGCAGGTGTCACTATTCAACTCGGTGCAGGGGGCGAGACCCCGTGTGAGGACTGGCGATGGATGCAGTCTGCTTGGCAGGCTTGGGTGCTGGAGTCAGAACCTTGCTTCCAGCCTTCTCTGATTAGACCTGCCCCAAAACCTCCGCTAAGAGTGAGGTCAGGTGGCTCAGATCTCACCTAGCACAGGTGGGCAGAAGAGACAGGATCCTCTCCATCTGTCCAAACAGCTGTGACCTGGGCCAATTCCCATCCCACCCCGGTGTATTTAGTGTGTCTGCTTGAAGGCTCTTCCTGGGAACCTATCTCAAGAGATCAATGGCTAATTCTCTCGTGAACACAGCCTTTACTGAAAGCCTACCCCAGGCTCTGCGGCTCTCCACTGTGGCTCTCAGGACCCAGATTGCTTTTCTGAGCTGCGGAACACAGATCGATATGTTTCCGAGGTGTGCGGTCCTGGGAGCGCCCTTCGACGACGTGGCCTATCAAGTCTGGCTTCACTGCTTTAGCCACTCAACACGTTATTGGAGGCTGGAGGGCCCTTGGAGAGGTGGGTGTCAGACAGATGGAGCCTCAGAGCCGCAGAGTCAACAGGGGGAGAAAAGCTCTCTTCGGCTTTTAATTGAGAAACTGTCCGGGCCCAGAGGGTCTGCAGCTGTCCTCCCTTCCATTTAACCTGAGATAGAGATGTGCGATTCTCTCAGAGGCACCTCTGGCCATCCCAGGCTGTAAACCTCTTAGGACAGACAGCACCGAGGGAGTCTGAAATTGAAGGTCACATCTTATAGCGATTAGGGCACCCTGATGCTGGCGTATGCATGTAACACAAGCACTTGGGAGAGGATTACATGGGGGAGAGGGGGTATCATCGTGAGTTCAAGGCTAGCCTGGGCCATGCAGTGAGACCCTATCTCAAAAATGCAGTGTCTTGGGTGTGGCCCAGCAGTGGGTTACTTGTTTAGTGTGCACAAGGTTCTGCTCATGTTTGTGTCCCAGCCCCAAGTCTCAGGGAGCAGAGAAAAAGAAAACGCCCAGGCCCATGGCTCAGGGGAGCTGAACCTCAGTGCCAACCAGCATCTCCTGGTGTTTTGGGGGAATGTAGAAGAAGCTGGGGAAGAGGAAATGAACAGTTGGGGAGCCGGGGCCAAGCAGCTGTCCCCAGGCTCCAATTTGATAGAGTGTCAGTGTCCTGTACCCTCGGTGCCCCCAGAGGGGTGTGCATCCAGCCTTCGTTCTGAGGCTATACGCTATTATTTCCCCCAAAGCAGGTAACTTTCCTGGGAAGTTCTGGAAGGTAGCCCTGGTCTCTTAGGTTGAGAATGACTCAGAGAACGTCAAGTCAACCCTCAGGGACAAACCGGCTCCCAAGAATGCTGTACAGATGGAAAAGAGTCATTGGGAAGCAGAGCTCCAGGGTCCACGCTGCTCCCCTCCATTGGCTGACCGTGGCAAACTGCTCATCCTTGCCGTCACCCAGCTTCACCATCTGTAAGGCGCACAGGGTGGCACAGCTACTCTCCTTCCCTGTGGCCGGAGTGTCAGGGTGGCAGGGCTCCTGTAGCCGGTGGAGTTGCAGGATCCACTGAAGTGTGTCCTGTAGCTTTTGTGACCAGCGGCCTGTGTGTTGCTGGAAATTCTGATTTGCCTGGTGTCAGGGACGTCACACCTTAGCAGCAAGTTATCACTGACGATCCAGGGCAGAGTAGGGTCCGGACCTGAGAAAGTGAAGGCTGCCATCCACAGCTCCTGTGAGTGTGCTACCAGGAGAGACCAGCATGGGCTGTTATTCAACTCAACACTGGGCCATTCCCAAGCCTCCAGCAGACATCACCAGGACAGACCCACAGCCTGACCTCATGGGGTTCAACGGTACACTTGAACAAAATACCTAACCCTGCCTGCCTCCAGTGGCTAGGGTTCTTTGTTTTTTCAGCACCCAGGAAAAGCCAGCCATCCCCGGTTAAAACAGAGGTGCCGATGAACGTTGGCGTCCTTCAGTGGGGTCCTCCTGCCCTAAGGGAGAAAGGGGTCTGGTCTGGGTCTGAGCCAGCCCTGTCAGGATGCCAGCCAGTTCTCCCAGGCTGGAAAGTTTCCAGGTTGGAGTAGAGTGGGAATGTTTGGAAAGAGGGAAGCCAAGGGCAACTTGGCTGCCTCTTCTCTGTGAGAGTTCTGGGCAATTGCTACTGCTGCTTGAGTTCCGTGAAGCTGGAGGTGGAGCAGCCTAGATCCCAGACCCTCTGTTCCATCCTTCAAGTGTGACATGTTTCTTCCTGGTCATCTTCAGACCCATGCTTATTGTGAGCCTGGCTGGTCCTAAAAGGGCTGATGTAGCAAGAGATCTAACTAGGCACCTATGGCGCTGACCACACCCACAGTGTGGACTTGAGGTGCGAGATTTAGGCTGGGGAGAGGCTCGCACATGCTCTCTTGCTGCTGGCTGGGTCAGGCAAAGCAGCCTGGGAGGATCCTTGGAGCTGGACCTGTGGCAGTCACCTGCCTCTTGTGTAAGTGTAATCTCTCCTAAATAAACCCTCCTTTAACATGTACTGGGTCCAGTGAATCTTGATTCCCACATGACATCTGGTGTCAGGAGTGAAATATTTGTCCTCCGTGGGCAAATTCACTGACCTACAGCGGCCACACACCCTGGTTAGGCCGTGTACGTGTGGGGTGTGGGTATTCGCCTGGCGGTGCCGTAATTCAGCAGCGCCCAGCGTGAGCGCTAGCTCACAAAGCTCCAAGGATCCTCCTGGGCTGTTTTCCGTGGGACCCCACACGACAGGCTGATGCTTCCGCTTGCTGGGTAGCTGCTGATGGGGGTGGGACAGAGACCCATGATGTACCTCCTTGCTTGTATAGTGACAGAGGGACAGAGATGCAGATGTGAGACTGGGGAGCCCCTCTCAGGTATGGAGAATAGGAGAGCAGGAATAGGGGAGTGTTTGTAGTCCTCTTGGAGCTCTTGGAGTAGAAAGGACTGTGCTGCCGGCTCAGCCAGGAAGTCACAGCCCCCAGACCGTAGGCTCATGGTGGTTGGTCTAGGTCTCTCTGCTCAGAGAGTTCATATTGGTACCCTACTAAATAAGGGTGAAAGTTACTCCCCATTGTCCCCAAAGATGAGTTGGATAGTGAGGGGAAAAGAAAAGTGAACCGTGAGATGCTTCTGACTTCACCCGGTCTGGAAAGCCCAGGTCATAGAAGTGAGGCCAAGCTGTGTCTTCTCTTCCTGAAGACCTCTGAGTTCTCTGTGGAGAGCAGGTAGACTATCCCCTGCTCCTGACTTCAGAACATTCTTTGTGAAGAGGTGAAGATAGTTAACAGATTTAAAATACTCATCTGGCTAAGTTCCTACTATTTATTTATTCCCCCAGTATTCTCTGAGAACTCCAGGAGTCCTGGGAATGGGTAAATTCTGGGAATGGGCACCTGTCTGTGCTCCCCCTACTCCCCATACTCCCCCCCGGGAGGCACAGAAGGCAAGCTACACGGGACCGCGCTGTTTCAGGCTGTGATTGCATCAAGTCAGGATATGAACTCGGGAAGAATCTGGAGGCAGCAGGAGGTTGTAGGAGACATGGGGCAGAGGCAGCTTCTCTGCGGAATAGACATGGGGTCGGGTTCTGCTCATGGAGTATTCCTTCGGGGGACATCCAGGATAAGAGTACCGAGGTGGGAAGGCATGGCAAGGCATGTGAGGTGGAGGTCTTGCGGATGGAGGCATGTTCTGGGTGTCCTTCAGGAGTCAGGTGTCCCTGGAGGAGTGTTGGGAACCTTGGGAAATGTGGGAGGAAGTTGAGCCTGGTGGGATGGGGATCTGCTTAGGGCTTCATCTCTTGACCACTGGGTGGTGCTGTTCGTCTCTGGATTTCTGCTGTTTCCAATGGGATTTGACCTTGACCCCATGGCCCGTGGCACGCCGTGTATGTGCACGTGTCAGATAGCTTTTACTCACTCATAGGTCACTGTTCAGACGTGCTGGAATAGGCTCTGAACCTGCTGGAGGCTTCAGGCTTTGAGTTGCATGTGATCAGGTCAGATGGGCTCTCTTGTTTCTCTGACCTCTGGGCACACTATGGCCACATGCATAAGGAGACTACATTTCCCAGCCTGCCTTGCGGCAAAGGTTTCTCAGTACCTGCTGGCTTTATCTGGGAGGTAGATGATGAAGGAGGAGCCTGCCTAGGACTGAACTAGGCACTCTGCATATATGTTACAATTGTGTAGCTTGGTAATCTTGTGGGACTCCTCTAATAGTGGGAGCAGGGGATGTTTCCGACTCCTTTA